TCTCCCCACCCCCATCTTCCTTCCCTTCTAAGTCGGCACCTCCAGCTTCCTCCCCAGCTCTGCCTGTCCCTCCCTTGGTTATCCTCAGCCACCTACGCTCTGTCTTTGGCTTGCCTTTCCTCTCCTTTCTCACCCCTGAGCTCCTGACTTGTCTGCCCATGGTGAACTGCAGAGATGGAATCTGATGGGGGGCCCTCTCTGCTAACCCAGGTGGTTCTTGTAGGTGTGGTGCCATGCAGGGTGTGATTGAAACTGTTTCTCCCCAATATCATTGCGACCCCAGCTCATTTGAAATTCAGATTGACAGCTCCATATTGATTCCCTATTTCCAACTGGTGTCGCAACTGAAGAATGAGAATCTAAGCATTGATCTGGCCTTTCTTCCAACAAATCCCTGAAAAATGAGTTGGTCCACTGGGGAGAAATCTTGAGACTGGATGGGGAAAAACCAAGACATGAACACGCTCAGATTCCCACAAAGGAGTTCTGACAAATTCAAATCCCAAGACCAGATGTGTAAAAAAGAAAGAATATTGTAGACTAATAAAATGATGCTTTAGGGCCAGTAGGACTCAGAGATTATTCTAACCCCCTCATTTTATAGCTTGGGAAACTGAAAGCAAAAGGGGGAGTGACTCACAGGAGGTCACAGAGGAGGTCCTTGCTGGGCTGGTGTGGCTCTGGTTGGTTGAGCTCCATTCCATGCACCAAAAGGTCACCAGTTCATTTCCAGATCAGAGAACATGCCTAGTTTCAAGCTTGATCCCTAGTAGGAGGTGTGAAAGAGGCGGCTGATCCATGTCTCTCTCTCTCTCTCTCTCTCTCTCTCTCATCTATAAAAAACATTTTTTTAAAAATCAGAGGTCCTTTAAGTACCTAAGTCTCCTGGGGTGACAAATCCCCTAACTGAATGGTGATAGTTTACCTCCATCCAGTCAGCCGCCATCATAAGCCTTCTCTGCAAAGAGCAGAACACTTGGTCCCAGAAGACCTCACTGTCTTTCTGGAAATTACTATAATCAAAACTGTCTAAACTAAGTCTGATTCACGACATTGCATTGCAGTAATCCCTGAAACAATTTGCATCTCTTCCAAATACTTGTACAGGGTCAGCAAATCCTAACAATCACATGTTTCATGGCTTGGCTCCATCCCCAGCTTCTCTGTCCAGTAGCTGAGTCTATCAGCAGATGTCTGCATTCAGCACAGGTAGTGGTTCCAACTGTGCGGCAAGGGCCTGTTAATGCCTGTTTACTCTGCACAGGTGCACAGAGAACAGATTTACTACAGGGGGGCTTGAACTAATTCTGTGCACAGTATCTAAAGATAGACAGAAAGGTACAATGGTTGTCAAGTGGAGGGGTGTGGCTATTTTGACATTAAAATGGAGCCTTTGTAATTCACAAAGAATTGGGGAAATTTCGGACAGGGCAGTAAGAGGTAGTCCTGTTGGCAATCAACAGCATTTACATTAAATTTTAAACCTCTGTTCTCCTTTTGTTTTCACTGTATTCACTACCATGGTTATTTTTATTATGGCAAGTAATACTGGTTGTTCATTTGTGAGTGGTGTAATATAAAGTCCCCTTTTTTACAAGGGTAGTTTTTTAAAAAGCAAGGCAATTTAGAAACCACTGTTACATGATACATGGAAGGGTATGGACTAGAGAACCCCAAAGTTTCAAAGACTTCCGTCAATCACTTTGCAAAACAGAGGCTCATTTGGTAATTCACAGCAATTTCTCCTCCATTTTTAGGTGTGATAAATCCAGAATTGTATACATAGGGTTGCTGGAAGTCAGACACATGTTTTGATTTTCTTGGATGTAATAGAATATAACAACCTTCAAAAACAATTAGAAATAATAGTGGCTACCATGATTTATCCTCTTCACCATTTATAAAAGGCTTTCCCATACATGGTACCATTGGGTGAGTCAACACTTGAAAATTTGTGCTCTAATTCCTTCTCTCATTAAAGTGTTGTGTGACCTGAGGCCAGTTACCTAACCTCTCAGAGTCTCCGTCCCCTCCAGTTCAGCTCACCCCTCCAGTGAGTCTGTACCAGGTGACCAGGCTGCAAGTACCTTGCAGACACTCAAGCTCAGGTAACCAGAGGACTCTTCAGCACTGGGGAGGATTCAGGTATTAAATGGCACATTTTGCTAATAGCAAATGGTGAGGAATAATTTGGGGTGAATTCATTCTCTCACTGGGCCACCTAATAAGATTCAGGCTTATGAAAGAGGCCTAAGGGCCATGAGATCGCCTGTGCTCTAGTAACTGCTGGGAGGGAGTACTATGTTCTCAAATCTTATTATCTGAGAGAGGGGCTGGACAGAGAACAGGAGCTTATGGAAGCTTCATAACTGCCACTCTTGGAGAGGTTCTAGAAGTGAATTATAGCCGCAGAAAAGTCGTAAATCACCAGCTGCCTGCTTGTGGTCCCCTTTGCTCACACCAGAGCCGTGGAGCAGCTGTGAGTCTGGTGCTGAACGGAGAAGAGGCTGGGAATGTGGTACTTACTACCTGTGGGCCATGGAAGGTACCTGGCAGCACTTCCCAGCCACGTGGGGTCCGTGGTGCAGCTGAAAGCAGTGGGACCCAAAGAAGTCCCCAGACTGGTTCTGAACTGCTTCACACACACACACACACACACACACACACACACACACACACACACAATCACACACACAGCAAGACAATATACTGAATTCTGCTCTGTTCCAAGAACTAGGTGTTGTTGTTTTTTACCTGTGCTACCTCAGCTACTCCTTGTATAAAACTAAAATGACATATGAGGCAACTAAAGTTCAGAGATGTTAAGTAACTTCCCCAAGGTCACACAGCTAGTATGAGACATCATTGATTCCAAATCACCCATTCTTTTCACTCCTTTTTGCACTATCCTATTTTACATATCACAATGCATTTGAGAAGCACACACATGCAATGTACACACCACATACATACATACACAAAGGCATCTTATACATTCATACCCTATAATTCATGTACATATACACACACAAAAATGCCCACACTAAATGTCACACTTAACAGCATACTTAACATGATCCCAGGTATTCACATTTTTGTATTCACATTACAAATCTATGTAACAGGATCCACTATTCATCCACAAACACCCCCAGGCACACTCTAATCCCCACACATCCATCCTCACCCACACAGCTATACACGTAACATGCATACACATCACACCTGAAAACTCATCCACTTCACACAAACTCACAAACATCCATAGTCACACACATGAAAATAGTAAAACGCATTTGTCCTGTCAATCAAAACTAGCTCTTCAGTCTATGAATAAGGGACCTCCAGATTATTATGCATTAGTGTCTACATCATCCTGGAATGCCTTCTAAATCTTCAAAGGAATCCCAGGCATTGCTTTCAGTAGTTTTTGATTAATGGGTATAATAGTCTAATCATTTTTAAATTGTTGATCCACATATGCATATTTACGAATATACTACTCGCCAGGATATTTGATTAAAGTAGCAAATTATTCAGTCACTCATTTACTGTGCAATTACTGAGCACCAATTATGTTTTTGAAACACCATCACGGACACAGTAGGAGATTAAAAGAACAAACAAACAACAAATAAAAGCACCATGACTCCTGGTCTTAAGACACAAACACAAGTAACTATACTGCGAGGTAGCATGGCCAGGACCTGCTGAGTGAGGGGTGTGCGAGGAGAGGGAGCCAAGGAGATAAGATGGCTGGGACGCTTCCAGTCCTAGAGGATGCCGAGATGTCGGGGCATCCAGCGACGCTGCGGTCTGGAGAAGCAAGTTTAGGAAGAAAGCTGTGGCATGCAGGGTGGGAGAGGAACCGGAGGCACAGACAGGATGTCTAGAGGGACACGCCCTGCAGGTGCCTGCAAACGAGGAAAGGGGCTCCAGCGAGAAGCTGGCATGGAGACCTTGATTTGAGAGTCCTCCATTAGAAGTGATCACTTTAACAGGACTGATGAGGTCAGAAAAGGAGCCCGGGCATGAACAAGAGGGGTGGAGAGCAAATGTTTGGGGAGCCAGTGTCCTAGTTGGCAAACACAGGCACACGTCTCTATACCTGCACTCCCTCTAAGGTACCAGCCCCTAGCTGGTGCCTAGCTCAGGGGTCTCCTGGTGGCATTTCAGGACTAGAAAAGCTCATTTGCACAAATGGTTGTCCTCCAACCCCGAGGCTGCCAATTTTGACTCCTCTAGAAATCTGCGCGCCTTTGACTGAGAGCAGCAGGTGGGGGGCCACTGTCCTTAGACCTCAGTAACTCTTGCTATGGTGTGAATAAGAGCCTGAAAGCACTTCGTTGAGTGGGAATGGGGGGCCAGTCCCTCCCACCAGCTGTGCCTCCATTTTCCCAACTGAGGTTTTCTAAAGTGTGTGTTTCATGAGATACTAGTCCCATACGTATATCATCTAAGCTTGTTACAGGCTCTGAGAAGACCTCGGGTAAAGATGCCTGTTTAAATTTGTGTTCCTGAATGCACTTGACTTACGCAACTTTTCTTTTTTTTCAACTAGTGACCAATTCTGAAGAGAAACTTTGGGGAAATCTGGGACTACTTGATCTCTAAGATTCTTTTGCTGTTGCATGGACCCATGGGGCGGGGCTCAGGCACCCAAAACACAGGGCTGGGCCTAGCAGGAGGTTAGCCCTGCAATCTCTTCTCCCCTCTCCCGGGAGACCTGCAGCCAAGTGTGATTGCTCTGATCCCCAGGCTGCAGCCTTAGAAAAGGCAGCAGCGTCTCAGCAGCGGTCAGACACTCGGCTGCCTGCCAGGATCCCTTGCCGGCTGATATTTGGGCTGGATAAACAATTTAGACACAGCCTTCCCTCATTAAGGACCCGTATTACGTATTACCTATTTCTCGGGTCTACGAGGGCGGGGCCAGGCTGGGATCTGACCACGCATGAGAAAGGGCCATCGTTAACCCTCTGCTCTCCTCTCTCCTTTCTTAGCCTTGCTGCTTCTAAGGAGGCTGATGCCGCCCGCTCCGCACCCAAGCCCATGTCTCCCTCAGACTTCCTGGATAAGCTCATGGGGAGAACCTCTGGATATGATGCCAGGATCAGGCCCAATTTTAAAGGTAGAGAAAACTTTCCTTCCAGATCCCCCGGCATCTGTTTTCCTAGATTAAAAGTAAGCAGCATGGGATTGGATGGTACATACATGTCAGGAGCCCAGGACTCCCCTCTGCCCTAGGCAGATGCCATTAATACGTTCGGACTGCTCCCCCACCACACCCACCCAAACCACGCTCAAACTTAACAGCCCCCTGGCTGCCAGGAATCTGTGAGTTGAAACCGACTTGCTACCTCTGGTATAACAGCCAGATAGATAAACCTGGCGTGTGAAGAAACGGGGTCAGGTTTGGTTCAGGCACAAACTCACTCTCTGAACTCTGATAAACCTCTTCCTCTCTCTGGGCCTCAGTTTCCTCCTCTCTGCAGTGATGAAGCTGGCTATCTGTGGGAGCTCTGGGGCTCCCACCATGTGCCCCCAAAGGGAGGAGCAGAGAGCATAGTGACCAAGACCACGCTGCTTCTCCCCGAACGGTCCACTTCTATTTGTTTTAGATAAGAGACATCCAACTGAAATTCACCTCCTGAAAAGGTCCCAGGAATTAACAAATAATTTTTGAAACTTTCTAGTCTAAACCAGAGTCACAATTTCAAATGCCTACAGGACTTAGGTAGGAAACTTCAGTGAGTGAGGGGAGCTAGGAGGAAGTCAATAGGGAGTGGTAGAGACTATGGAGAAATAGAGGTGCAGGCCCTCTAAAGGGGACAGCCTCTTCTTAGCCCCGCCCACAGTTACCCAACTGGAATGTAGGCCCCATGTTGCCAGGTCACCCAGTATTCCGAGAAGAGCCAGAAATGAAGATTTATGCAAAGTTTCCTGATTCCTGAAATATGTGCATTCAAACAGAACGTGTTTGTTGTGAGCCAAATATGCCTTCTGGGTAGCCAGTTTACAAACCCTCCCCCAGGTGACCGGAGGGCTTTCCTTTAGCTCTCACAGTTCTGGGAGATCTCAACAAGAGGGAGCCGGTTCCCGTGGGTGCCTTAGGAGGCTGTCCCCACCCGCCATTGCTGAGCAGAACCCCGCAGGTGCAGCCCTAGGACCTCCCAGGAGCCTGTGCTCACGGACCTTCCTCCCAGCACCCCTGCAAAAATCTTATTTCAAGCACCCACTGTCAGCCTCCTCATCGATCTTATTCCAGATGCCCTTCCTCACTACTCCTTCTAGCTCAAGTCCGAAACCAAACAAGGGAGATGACAGCTGGTACAGCTTCCTAGTACTTGCTCACTTTACCCCCATTCTCAGTGCTCTGCAGGTAGAAAACTGTCTGAGAGACGCACTGAGGTTTATTGGGGCCCACCTCCACCCTGCTTATCTCAAGGCTCCTTCGCTCCCCCAGCACTTTATTCCCAAGGCCACATCTTCCAGCGCTGTTAGCATAACCTTGGTCCTCTCAAGGACAGCTAAGTCAGGACCAAAGCTGCTGTCATACATAGCACTGGACCCAAGCCCTTCACCAGGGTCTCAATCTCAAACACCCAGAGGAACCAGACAGATATGGCACATGAGTGAGGCAGGAGGAACATGAGAAAAGAAAACTAGAGAACACAGGGCTTGTCTAAGGGCACCTACTTCCCAGCTCTGGCAGTAACTGCGTGGTAGAAACACAGGCCCTGGGATGCTGGCCCTCCAAGACTTGAGTCTGGGGTTTTGTGAAATCTTTGAGGTTGGCAGCTAAGTCACAAATTTTAGAAACGCCGTTGTCTAAATCAAACACATTGGAGAATTGACCATCAGGTTGTGTCCAGTTTTCAGGAATTCCAGTCCACTACGCCCCCTAGTGGACACTCTCAGAACTCCATACTGAGTGCCGTGGACTTGCTCTCCTGAGAAAAGAGGGACTCCTTTGTTGAATGTGTGTATGCATCCCAGGTTCAGGTGTTAGGTATCCTTTGTGCATACCACTGCACCTGGCACATAAAAGGCCCTCAATGAACCTTTTGTGAATGAATGAATGAATGAATGAATGAGCAAACGAACCAACAAATGTGCTAAGGTTTAGAGCAGTTAAATGACTCCTGAGCCATGCTGTCAAGGCTGTAGGGACTTGAACCCAGCTAGCTACTCTGACTCAGTTCTTTATCTAATGCTGGTCATTTATTCTTTTATTTACTGGCTTACTTACTTAGTGAACATCTTTAAGAAATAAAATTTCACCCAGACTATAAAACCACTGAATCAGGGCCCAGTCTCTCCCCACTCTGAAAGCCTTCCTCTAACACTTGGACCCAAAAACCTACAGATCTAGATCATCTTAGTCTCCCGACCCTGTGTCATCTCTAGCTCCTTCAGTCCCCTCCAAGTAGGGCTCTGAGCAAGGTGCAGCTTCCCGGAACCCAGCCTGGAGCTGGAAACAAGGCTTCTCTCTCTCTCTGGTGTTGAGGACTGAAACACTGGCATAAGGAGGGGACCTCCAGCCCCTGATGCCTATGGTCCCTTCACACTTCAACCCAGACACCAATAAGATTCCCCCAAAGCCCCACACAAACTACAGAGCTCCTGAGAAGGCCTCTGCGACCCCAACACAATAGGAAGAGGCCTGCGTTGTTCTAAAACGCCCGCTACTTACCTGATGCGTGTGACCCAGAGTGAGTCATTTGCCAGGCCTCTGTTTCCACATCTGCGAAATGATCCAGCAGCCAAGGCCCGTCCAGCTCTGATAGTCTGCATCTCCTCCAAGACTCTGTGTCGGACAATGGTTCCCAGGATCAGGGGCACAGCCTGATGCAAACACGTACACAAAAGGAAAATTAAACTTTAATATTTAATGAAATATATACATTATCCTGCTGCCGAAAGGCAGCCAGATTGTAATTTTCTTGAGGATAATTTCATTTCAGATGTATGTCAATGACTCTCACCTCCCCATGGGGTCTTCTGGGCCGGCGCCCTCTCGCACACATAAATCGGGACCTACTTTATAGGGGAATCACAGCGCCAGACACTGCAGGGGCTGGTGGGAAGTCTGTGCACGTGATTCAAGGCACAGGCAGTAACTCTTTGGGGCATCTTAATGGTATGAGGCTAAATAAAAGAAAAACCTGGGCCTGAGTCTAAATGAGAAAGAAAAAAAAATCTAATGGGCCTTCGTTTAGGTAGAAGTGACAAGGAGGCAGATGTCCTACTCAGCATAAGAGACATTTTTTAGCAGACAGAGCTATCACCATGGAACGGACCACTCAAGACAAAATGAGTTCCCACTACTGGGGGTATTCAAGCACTGAGCTTTGAGAGGGTAGCTGGTATAGCAGGTTCCTACACCTGGCTGCGCATGAGAGTCACCCAGGGAGCTCATTACAATATAGATTCTGGGCTAATCTCCAGAGATTTGGCTTCACTGGGTCTGGGGTTGGGCTGAGCAATCTGCAGTTTAACTAGTTCTCCTGGTGATGCTACCTCCAACAGCCCTGCCTGCATATCAGTTCGGGTGACCTTTAAGAAACCTCCCAGCCCTGAAGTCTTATAACTTGTTAGTAGAATGACTAGCTTCCATAAGGGAATTCCAAACCACTGGAGCACATCTGACTACCCAGATAAGGAGCTACTCTCCCAGATTGATGGGGAAACTGCAACCCAGAACAAGGAAGAGGCGGGCCTGAGGTGAAACAGCCAATGAGCACTGAGCTGTGTCCAAAACCCAGGGATCCTCACTCCCCTGGAGGGAAAACCTAGATTCTCACCACCAGACTGAGTCCCACCCTCGACACCAAGACTTCTGAAAAGAAGGAATTCTTGGCTGAGCTTGAGTGAAATGCTTGGGCTACTTTTTCAAGGGGGACAGAGAAGACATGGTAACAGGACACTAGGATATCTGCTTCCATCTTTCCACAATCAGAAAGTTGGATTCAAGTCTTGGCTCTACCACTTGCTGGCTAAATCAGCCCAAGTGAGTTGCTAAGACTCTCTGTGCTCCACCTGAACAGCAGGGACAGTAAGTTTGTCTTGCCTACCACAGGTCCTCATGGGGATCAACAAGAAAGTGGACCTGAAAATTTCACAAATAGCACATTGCAATCTTCATGTGCAGGATTATGACCTATAATCTAAGTCTTACCCACCTTCAAGGTCAGTTCAAGGTCATCACCTTCATGCGTTCTACCCTAATACCTCAGTCTCCAGGACTTCTCTTGTATCCGGGATCCTACTGCTTATGCCACTCTTAGCCACAGTCTCACATTTCTTTCTGGTTATTTAGGCTGGCCCTTTTGTCAGCTCATGTGGATGCCCAGTGCTTAAAACCCTAGATTCTGCCACTATATGACCTTGAGCATGCCACTTCCTTTCTCTCAACCTCATCTTTACCAGTACAGCCTTGAAGACCATTTGCTTTGGAATTAGACAAATCTGAATTCAAACTCTGACTTGTCCATTTACTAACTGTATGGCTCAGGACAAACAACCTCTCTGAGCCTCTGTTTCTTCATCTGTAAAATGGAGGTAATAACCATGCCTCCTTATGGAGTCACTGAGAGGATAGAAGGAGGTCCATGTTAGTAAAACTCAGCCCAGCAGCAAACCCTGTAATGCTCAATAAGTGCTAAGTATCTATAATTAATAGCATAAAATGAAGATATTTAGCTTCAACTGGACAGAAGTCCCTCTAGCAATATGATTCCAAAGAGCAAATATTCCTCCACTTCTCTATCTTTTGCAGCAGGATTCAAAAACCCTGCCTAGAAAGTATTTAACAAAGACTTATGGACTTCCCTTGAGGTTCCCTCTGGATTCCTCAGCTGGTAATTCCCATCAACACCCTTTCAAGCAATCATTCGTGGTTCGTAAGTTCAAGGCAAGGAACTCAGTGTTCTTTGTGATTCCCAAGATGGCCTCCAAATGTTGTAGCCGTAAATACATTTCAGCCACAAATTAGAAGGCAGCCGGTGGGGTTTGGGGAAGGGATTTCAACCATATGGCAGGAAGATGAATCATCCTGTGTTAATGAAAGTACATCCCAGCTCAGACACTGGTGCTCTGTACCTGGTGCTCACTCAGGGACCAGGGAATCTGGCAGAGTGGTGTGGCTGGGAGTCCCAGATGCTCGGGGGTGGGGTGGAGAACAAGCAAGGGGCTCCTCACCAAGGGGTGTCCATCCCTGAGGTCAGTGTTTCAGGCACGGGTCCTGTCCTGTGGGTTTCTTCATGGCTATGGAGCTAAAGCAGGTATCTCTCCTGATTGGCAGGTCCCCCGGTGAATGTGAGCTGCAACATTTTCATCAACAGCTTTGGTTCCATTGCTGAGACAACTATGGTGAGTGAATCAAAACACAAGCTGCTATTTCCTGTGGGGCATCTCTCTCTCTCTGAAATAGTTCCCCTCTGCATTGGGCTTCCCAAGGAGGTGGGGGATCTGGTGTGCTTGCAGGTTTCCGGTGGTATAGCAACGGAACATTTTTACTGCCCTATTCCATGTTTTAGGTGAGCACATATATCTGAAAATGGCCAAAGAGCCAGCAGGGCCTGCACATGCCAAACACTCAGGATTACAAAAACAACATCATATCAATGGGCTAAAGTTTTAGATGAAAAGAAAACGTAAAGACCTACTTGTAAAGTTCAAGTGCAACTGCGGAATAGCAGAAGACTGGGTACAGAGGCTGAAATGGATATGTTGGGTTGATTTTACTCTACTCTCTACTTTTGTATGTACTTAAAAAGTCCCATAGCCCTAACCAGTCTGGCTCAGTGGATAGAGCTTCGACCTGTGGACTGAAGGGTCCCAAGTTCGATTCCGGTCAAGGGCATGTACCTTGGTTGCGGGCATATCCCCTGTAGGGGGTGTGCAGGAGGCAGCTGATCGATGTTTCTAACTCTCTATCCCTCTCCCTTCCTCTCTGTAAAAAATCAATAAAATATATATTTTTTAAAAGTCCCATAGTAGAAAGTTTAAAATAAATTACACAAGAAAAAAAAAGGCTAGAAGGAAAACTACTAAAATGTTAAAAGCAATTATCCCTGTATCATAGACTGATGGATAATTTTATTTTCTTCTTTAAGCATTTCTATATTTTTTAAATTTCTACAAGGAGTAAATATTACATTAGTAATTATAAATAGATACAATGAAACTTTACATGTTTTTCTCACTCCTTGAAAACAAAAATAATCTATTATGCTTGTTTAGAAGAGAGTGATTTCACTTGTGAGAAAATAACAAAGGCCATTTATAGTCATCTCTTTATGCCCTGGCTGGTGGCTTAATTGGTTGGAGTGTTGTCTCACACCAATGTTTCTCTCTCTCTCTTCCTTCTTCTCTTTCTAAAATCAATAAATAGCCCTAGCCAGTTTGACTCAGTGTATAGAGCATCAGCCCAAGGACAAAAGGATGTCAGGTTTGATTCTGGTCAAGGGCATGTACCTGAGTTGCAGGCTCAATCCCAGCCCTGGTCAGGGCGGGTGTAGGAGGCAACCAATTGATGTCTCTCTCATGTCACTGTTTCTCTCTCTCTCTCTCTGTCTCTCCCCCTCCTTTCCACTTTCTTTAAAAATGAATGGAAAAAATAAAATCAATAAGCACATCTTCAGGTGAGGATTAAAATAAAGTCATCTCTTTATGAGCAGAGTAAGAAAAGCCAGTCACCAAGTACTACAGAGGGTACTTCCATAAAGTCCTCTAAAGCACCCAATTCTGGATGTCCACCCGTGCCAGGCTAGTTCAGGCTTCCAATGAGTCTTGTTCACATTACTGCAAAGGGTTGTCAATTCTCATAAGGGAGATAACTAGCAAGGCCCCCAGAGAGGAGATCAACGATCTTAGGCAGGAAATACAGGATTGGCAATGATGTGCTTGCAGGATTGGCAATGATGTGCTTCCTTGGGAGAGGTCCCCAGATGACACAATTTCCCCTTACTTATTAAAGTTAATCCAAAGTAGGAAGGAGTTGCCATTCTCCAGCTTGCACATCCACAGTACTGTGATTTTCCCCGCACTCGGTTCTTAATGACCTATATGTGTTTAATTTGCTTTGTAGATGATTTAGGGGGAGGTAAACAATCTAAAAATCTCAGAACTAGCGAAAAACTTAAGAAACCATCTAGGTCAGTTCTTTGTTTTACAGAAAGGAAATCTGATGACTAGTGGTAACATCACTTGAGCAAGGTCACGAGGTCACAGAGCATGGAATGGGTGCTCTCTGCAGCAGCCAAGGGTGACTCTCCCTTCAGCTCTTTCTCCCTCAGCTCCCACCAACAAAGCCATGTGAGCCACTTTCCCATCCGAGCCTCTTCCCTTGTCACTCAGAATACAATAGCAACAACCACACATTAAACGCCACTGTGTGCTAGGTAGTATGCGGAGTACTTCTGCATATACCCCCTCCTTTAGACTCACAACAGCCCCCCTGAGGCAGGAAATGTTATTCCCATTTTACAGATAAGAAAACTAAAGATCAGAAAGGTTTGGTCATAGGGACTTAGAGCTGAAAAAACCTTTTTTTAAAAATCCTCACCTGAGGATATTTTTCCATTGATTTTTAAAGAGAGTGAAAGGGAGGAGGAGAGACAGAAACATGATGTAAGAGAGACACATCAATTGGTTGCCTCCTTCATGCTCCCCTACCAGGACCAGGGATCAAGCCTGCAACCAAGGTATGGGCCCTTGACCGGTATCTAACCCAGGACCCTCCAGTCCGTGGGACCGAAGCTCTATCCACTGAGCCAAACAGGCCAAGGCCGAAAGGAAACTTATTGAACAGACATGTTTAGGCCCCAGTTCCAGGCCAGGGTTCTGCCTCTCCAATCACGTGAAGAGCAGTTGCGCACCCTGGGTCCCTGGTAATGTGGACGTATCTTGTGCCAGAAACTCCCCAGGTTGTGTCTGCTCTGCAGGAGCAGCAAGAATGCCAGCAGCTCTATAAACAGCTGGAGTGCCCGAGCTTGACTGTCTGCTTCCCAGGGCCTGGCCTTATTCACCAGACCTGAGAGCAGAGACAGGCAGCCAGCAAAGCAGCAATGGCCTCGATCCATTCCAGACCAGCGGAGGGCTGAGGCTGCCTGTCCTTCACCTGACCTTTCCAGGGACTCTCTTTAAGTCTGAGCAGCAAGACAAAGGTAGAAGTTGGAACAGAAGTGAATGAGGGAGAGGTGGGAAGGGGCTCCTGATCGAGAGTCTCCCTCCGGCAGTCTCCAAGAGCAAAATCGGGAGCTAGATTCTTCCGGGAACCACCAGCTTGTCTGGACACACGTACTATGAGTGTGCACTACAGCCTCTATGTTTCTGAGTAGCATACATGCACATGAGTGTATTGTGGGGTTGTTTGTACAAATGTGCACATAGGCATGTGCATATGTATATGCTAGTTTGAATGTATTTGCACATGTAATCTCAAAGGGAAATGTGTATGGCCATGCATAGGAATAAGTATGTGCGTTTCTGGTTATAAATGTACATGTGAATATGTATAAGTATGAATGTGCATGTATATGTGTATGTATATATGTAAAAATATGAGAAAGTATTTAACAGTGAGTGTACATGAATGGTACTATTTTCATTTATGTAATTGTGTGTAGACATTTGCAAATATATAAGCACATAGTGAAATATGCATCAGCATGAAGTAGCATATTATATGTGTATCTATGCATGTGCATGTGAATATATGTACAAATACATGTGAATAAGTGAAAGAGAATTTACATGTGAATAGGTATGTATGAGTCTGTCTATACATGTGCGCAGGTGTGCATGGGAGTGTGCACATATGGGGACACGTATATCGTTCAATTCATGTGGAACTATATGTAAACAAATGAGAGAGCATGTGTGTGTGTCTGTGTTTGTCTGTGTGTGTGTGTGTGTGTGTATTGGCTTCCTCTGGGCATGAATTCCAGTATTTCCATTATCAGGTCATAAGCTGCAGCCTCTCTTACCAAGGGTCGGACTAGCTTGGCTCAGAGCCAGGCACACTGGCCAGGACTCTGGGGATTAGTGACCGCCTATCCACGGTATGATTATGGACAGCAAAACTCTGGCACTTGGTTGTTATTACAACAAACCTTGTAATAAGTCCAAAAAAAGAAAGAGAGAAGTAGGAATGCAGACAAACAATCTAGTGTGCACCTGACTAGGTCCTCTCCTTGACTGTGCATACATTGTGGAGACACACACATCTCTGTAGAAATAGGATGGTGCAGTACAATTTGTGTTTTTCACTTCCATCGTAGCCTGAAATCTGTCCACATACTACATTCGGTCTACCTCATTCCTAACTTTCCACACACCACCAAATTTGGAAACATAATAGGTAATTACTAGTATTATTATATTCAATATATGACAAAACGACTTTAATCTATGTTTCCAGACTTTATGGCCTACCTGCAAAATTGCATGGTCTGACATCATTTCATGGTATTTAACCACCCTTCTCCTGATGGACCTTTAGGCTTATGTAGCTTTTCGCTATTACAAATGAATTTTCTTGTGCATAGCTCTTTGCCCATTTCCTTAGGATATATTCCAGAAGTGGAATTACTTTATCAAAAAAGCATGCACTTCATTTTATTATTTTGACAGATATTATTGCCCAACTAACTTCCAAATAAGTTTTAATAATTTACTGTCCTCCCAACAGTGTTCATTTCTCTTCACCCTTGCTAACCCAAGATATTACCATTTATTTTTTCATTTTACCAGATAAATTTTTTAATGGTACTTCATAGTCATTTTTAATTTTCACTTCAGATTCATAGTGAATTTGAGCATCTTTGCATATGTTTATTGGGCAGTTTGAATAATATCATAGGTTATTTTTTAACATCTATGTCCCTAATCCATTTGGTTTAGTTTAGTTTTCTGTAAAGTATTTGGTGGTGGTTTACTTTTCTCTGATTAGATAGTAATATTTCCAACATCATTCTTAAGTAGCCATTATTCCTCCACTGATTTCAAATGCTATCTTTTTCATAAAGTAAAGCCCCATATAAAAAATAAACAAGTAAATAAATCCCCATAGATACCTAGTCTGTTTCTAGTCTCCGTTTATTGCCCCACTGCTCTGTTTGTCTGTTTCTGCACCAATGCCACACTACTTTCATTACTCGGCTTCACATTATATTTCTATGCCTGGTAGAGATAGTCTTCTGTTGTTATTTTTTAAGGTTTTCTTGACTTTTTCAGCTCCTTTTCTTTCCCACATGAACTTTAGAATTAGCCTGTCAAAGCCTATAAAAATTGCCTCCAATTTTTGAGATAAAGTTTATAGATTAATTTGGGAAGAAGTGACATCTTAAGTATATTTTATAAACATG